GGGGCGCCGGGTTGGGGGGCGCTGCCGCTGGGCGAGAACGGCTCTCCCCCTGCCCGAGGGCCTGGCGCAGCACCGGCCTGTCCCTCCCTAGAGCAGGGCCGAGTCCCTGGGGAACAAGGCAGGGGCAGTGCCCAGCCACCCTTCTCCTCTGGGGTCGGGGCCCTTGTGCTGAGCTCCCTCTGCGCTGTCTGCTCAGGGCTGGCTCTTGGCGTTGGGACTCTGTACAGGGTAGGGATAGGGTCTGGGACAGGCCTTCCCTCGCCTGTACTGCCCGTGATGTCAGGCTCAGGATTCAACTCCAGGGTCTGCTGACCCCCTGCCCAACCCTGCAGGCTGCTGTGGAAATGCAGGCGTTGATCCCCATTAAGAACATCAGAACGGCCAGGCTGGAGCAGACCAAAGGCCCGTCTCACCCAGCGTCCTGGCTGCTGACTGTGGCCAATGCTGGGAGCCCCAGAGCGAGTGAACACAACAGGGAATCCTCATGTGATCCCGCCCCTGTCGCCCATTCCCAGCCCTGACAAACAGAGGCCAGGGACACCCTCCCTGCCCAATAGCCATTGATGGACTTGTCCTCCATGAATCTATCCAGCTCTTCTTTGAACCTTTTCAAAGTCCAGGCCTGCACAACATCCCTTGGCAAGGAGTTCCACAGGTTGACTGTGCATTGTATGAAGAAATACTTCCTTGTGTTTGTTTCAAACCTGCTGCCTGTTAATTCTATTTGTGACCCCTAGTTCTTCTCTCTGGCTGACCTCAGCGCGCCGTGGCATTAACGCCGCGCTGGCTCCGGGCAAAGCCAGGCAGGACCTGCGCTGGTCGAAGTAAAGCAAGCACATCGCTGCCCTGGAATCCGGGAGCTGCCGCCAGTAATTCCAGTGACCTGGGAGCAGACCAAAGGCCCGTCTCACCCAGCGTCCTGGCTGCTGACTGTGGCCAATGCTGGGAGCCCCAGAGCGAGTGAACACAACAGGGAAAACACAAACCAGCGAGCGAGTGACTCCCAGATGGGCGTTCGAATCCGGGGCCTCGGGGTGGGTTGTGACCCTGCTTGCGCCAGTCTGACTTCCCCGCTCCCGCTGGCCTTTTCAAAGTCCAGGCCTGCACAACATCCCTTGGCAAGGAGTTCCACAGGTTGACTGTGCATTGTATGAAGAAATACTTCCTTGTGTTTGTTTCAAACCTGCTGCCTGTTAATTCTATTTGTGACCCCTAGTTCTTGTGTCATGGGAAGGAGTAAATAGCACTTCCTTGTCCACTCGCTTACCCCAGTCATGATTTTATAGCCCACCATCATGCCATGTCTCTTTTCCAAACCGAAAAGTCTCCGTCTTACCCATCTCTCCCCACACAGCAGCCGTTCCATACCCCCTTTTCTCAACCTTTTCGAATTCCAGCATACCTTTTCCGAGGTGACTGGAAACCCTTGGGAAACCCACACGTGTGGTTCCCACGAGTCCCGGTGGTTTGGTGTTAGAATGGGGGTTTCACGGGGATGTACTGAGCTGTCCGGCAGTGCTCTGCAATACCGCCCCGATCCTCCCACTAGGCCTCACAGTCCGTGCAATGCGCTAACTGCTAACAAACTTCCCCTGAAGTTCAGTGGCGCAGGGAGGGATGTTCATGGGCCAAGCTATTGCTCCCGGGGGCAGCCTGGTCAGGAGCGTTCTCCTCCACGCCCGTGTTCCGCGGCGGATGTACTGAGCTGTCCGGCAGTGCTCTGCAATACCGCCCCGATCCTCCCACTAGGCCTCACAGTCCGTGCAATGCGCTAACTGCTAACAAACTTCCCCTGAAGTTCAGTGGCGCAGGGAGGGATGTTCATGGGCCAAGCTATTGCTCCCGGGGGCAGCCTGGTCAGGAGCGTTCTCCTCCACGCCCGTGTTCCGCGGCGGGTCCTGGCAGGGCGGCCGGCGGGGGGAAGGCGGAGCAGGCTGCTGGCCAGGAGGCAGGTGCAGGAGTCTGGTATGAAGAAGCCTGTGTCTGAGGAGTGGGTGTGAGGGCGCCGGGGCGAGGACTCGGGTTGCCATCCTTCCAGGATTGCCCTGGAGTCTCCGGGAATTAAAAATTAATCTCCGGTTAAAGATTCTGTAGCGTAATGAAAGCTCCAGGAACGCGTCCAACTGAAACTGGCCTCCGCAGGGCGGGGGCGGGATGTGTTTTTGGCCAGGGGCCAGTCTGGCTTTCTGCCTTTTCATCTGCCCATCCCTGACTTGATTTCCTCCAGGCAGCCTCTGT